AAAGAAACCTGCATGGAAAATAGACAAAGAGATCAAGCAGGAAATAGAGGATTCTGCTACACAACACATAGAGGAGTTCACATCCCAAGACATCGATTTTGATGATGACTTCAGCAATGATGCTCCAGCTGTAAAAGCCCCAGAGGTCAAAGAAGAAGTGCCTTCTGCATCTGGCGCCACCATCACTGATGTCGCTGATGAATTCCTCAATGAAGATTTTGATATATTCCCAGCACCAAAAAAAGAGTCTCCTAAAGAACTGAAGCCATTATCCAGTACTTGGTCTGAGCAGATGAATGAGAATCAAGCCTCAGCATCAATCCAAACTGATGGTCAACTGCCACTACAGACCAATGAGAATGGAGATAAGGTTCTGAGGTTCTACTGGCTCGATGCTTGGGAGGACCGCTTTGTGAAACCAGGAGTGGTGTACCTGTTTGGCAAAGTATATGTGAATCCTTCCAACAAAAAGGAAGGGTGTCTTTCATGCTGTGTTGTGGTGAAGAATGTCAATAGACAGCTGTTTTTGCTGCCAAGGGAATATGTGAGTATGATTAAACCAATGATTTACAATTATTTCATTTTAGGACCCTTAAAATAAATAAATAAATTAAGTCTTAGCAAAAAGGCTAAGGCGAGCGGGTGAGTAAACAAAAAAATTAAAAACTACATTTTTTTTTGTTCTAGAAATTGGATCCAATTACACTGGAAGGAACAGACCAAGAAGTGACCATGATGGATGTGTATGAAGAGTTTAACAGTAGTGTGGCCAGTGAGCTGGGCCTAAAGGAGTTTAAATCCAGGAAAGTTACCAAAAACTACTCCTTCAACTTGCCAGACATACCAGCTCAATCTGATTATTTGGAAGTCAGATATTCTGTAAGTGAAAAAGAACTATGCCTAACATTTATAATACTGAATTGAGAAAATATTTCAAAATCAAAACTCTTTCAATGCCATAAAATTTTATGGTCTCCCTCGTCTCTGGAAAATAAATTCATTAGACCATCAGTTGTTTCCAAGAGGTTGTGCATTGTTTGAACTGCTTTAATTCATTATTTTGCTTTCTCTACAAAACTGTACTGTACTGTATTCTTGATACACAATTTTTCTTTTCTTTTCACAGGCTTCAATAGGACCACCACCAACAGGCAAAAAGTATCTTACATTTTCCCACATATTTGGCGGGAACACATCATCCTTAGAGACTTTCCTGCTTGAAAGGAAGATCAAAGGCCCATGCTGGTTGGAAATCAAGCAGCCCGACAATGTTATGGCTAAAGTGTCCTGGTGCAAGCTGGAGGCTGCGTGTGAGAAGATGGAACACATCTCAGTCCTCAGAAGCGACACTAATCTGGAACCGCCTCCTGTTGTGGTGGCCACGGTATGTTTTCCTATCATTTGTGCCAATAGTCAATATCTTTATTGCATTCCATGTTGTACATAAGGCCTTCAAACATAGACCCAGTTGGGCACAGCAATATTGCAGTTTCTTCTTACTGCCTTTGGGCAGTTTGAATTTTCTATGATTTAAATTCATGCAAAGTTTTTTATAATAATACATACAGTGCTATAAATCCCATTTACTAAAACAGTTTTTCTCCTATTCTAGTTGAACATGAGAACTACAACTGACCCCAAGACTAGGAAGACAAAAATATTGATGCTGAGTTGTTTAGTACACAACAACTTCCCTATCCACAAGCCACCACCAAACCCTCCCTTCCAGCAACATTTCTGCAGTAAGTATCATACTTCTGTTATCTATTAAATCCATAAAATTCATTAAAATATCATTGTTACTAATAGTGATGTTTATTTCTTTACAGTTATGACAAAATGTAATGAAATCTGGCCTCTTGACTTGAAACAAACCCTCGCGCAATACAAAGCGACAAAACTAACCAAATGCGACACAGAAAGAGAACTGCTGAATTACTTCATGGTACAGTTCTGGAAATTGGACCCTGACTTAGTAATTGGACACGACTTGCAAGGGTTCCAACAGGATCTACTTATAGGCAATATCTTGGACCTGCATATCCCCAACTGGTCGCGGTTAGGTCGCCTCAAGAGATCAGTTGCTCCACAAAGAAAATACGCTGCAAAAGACGCTTTTCTAGGAAGACTTGTATGCGATATCAAACTGTCAGCTATGGAGCTTATTAGGGCAAGAAGTTTCGACCTGGAAACTTTATGTACAGATGTGCTGAAAATGAAAGAGGGTGAACGCGTCGACGTAGCTTTGGAAGACCTGCCACGTTACTACGAAAACAGCAGAGACTTGCTTCAACTCGTCTCCTTAAGCATGCAAGATGCTTCTTACATCCTCAAAATAATGTGTGAACTAAACGTGATACCTCTGGCTCTTCAAATAACGCAAATCGCGGGTAACGTAATGTCTCGAACGTTGATGGGAGGGCGATCAGAAAGAAATGAATTCTTGTTACTCCATGCCTTCACGGAGAAAAGCTATATCGTCCCCGATAAAGTTTATGGGAGAAAGCAGGTGGATGCCGATGATGACGACGAAAAAGACGAGGCGACTGCAAATAATGTGTCAAAGAAACAGGGAAAGAAGAAAGCAGCTTACTCTGGAGGTTTAGTTTTGGATCCAAAGAAAGGCTTTTATGATAAACTAATATTACTTATGGATTTTAACTCATTGTATCCTAGTATTATTCAAGAGTACAATATCTGCTTCACAACTATCAAGAGAAAAAGTACAACGGCCTCTGATGATGACGTAGCTAATTTAGTTCTACCTGGTTCTGGTACTGAATTTGGTGTATTGCCTACTCAAATTAGGAAACTAGTCGAGAGTCGTAGAGAGGTCAAGAAATTGATGAAGTCGCCGGATCTGCCGCCAGAGCAGTACATGCAGTATAACATCAGGCAAATGGCTCTAAAACTTACCGCCAACTCTATGTACGGTTGTCTCGGTTTCACACATTCAAGATTCTATGCCAAACCCCTTGCTGCATTGGTCACGATGAAGGGCAGAGAAATTCTGATGGATACCAAAGATATTGTACAAAAATTGAATTACGATGTCGTCTACGGCGACACAGACAGTTTGATGATCAACACGAACTGTTTGGACTACGATTCTGTCTTCAAGATCGGTAACGACTTGAAAAGGGAAATCAATAAAAAATACAAACAAATCGAGCTAGACATTGATGGAGTTTTTAGATATCTCCTGCTTTTGAAGAAAAAGAAGTATGCAGCTGTGCTCATAAGCAGAAACAAGAGTGGTGAGTTTGTGTTTCAGCAAGAGCACAAAGGGTTAGATATCGTGCGTCGTGATTGGTCGCAGCTCGCCGCCGAAGCTGGAAAGTTTATCTTGAGTCAAATTCTCTCCGAACAATCTGCAGATGAAAGACTGGAAAGCATACAATCGCATCTGAACAAACTGAAAGACGATCTGGTAAATAACAAAATTCCACTATCACTGTTAACAATTACAAAGCAATTGACTAAACATCCAAATGAGTATGCGGATAAACATTCACAGCCCCACGTCTTAGTAGCCCTGAGACTGAACAGCAAAAACAGTAGAAGATTCAAGAAAGGGGACATCGTTCCTTACATCATTTGTGAAGACGGTACTGAAAAGTCTGCTACGCAGCGAGCTTACCATATAGAGGAATTAAAAATTATGGATAATCTAAAAATCGACTACAAATACTATCTGGCGCATCAATTGCATCCCGTCATATCGAGAATATGCGAACCGATCGAGGGCATGGACCCGGCACGTGTAGCGGACTGTCTCGGCCTGGACCCGTCCGGGTACAAGCACATAATTAAAAAAGAAAACCAGAATTCAGAGACATTTGAAATTGAAAACGAACACGAAAAGTACAGGCACTGCAAGGAATTCACGTTCATTTGCGTGAACGAAAAATGTAAAACGACGAACAAGATAAGGGAGACGATAGTGAAGTTGGATAAGGAAAGCGTCACGTTTCTGGACAAGTGCCAGAACGATAAGTGTGCGGTGAGGCCTGTAGAATACTTGGCGTGTATTCAGAACCAGCTGACGCTGCAGCTGCGGGAATATCACAGCACGTACTATGCTGGCTGGCTGTCTTGCGAGGACCCGGCGTGCGGCCACCGCTCGGCGCGCCTTCCGCAGGCCTTTGCGGGCGGATACCCGCTGTGCCGCGCCTGCGAGAAAGGCGTCATGTTCCGAGAGTACACGGAGAAGGACCTGTATTTGCAGATCAACTTCTTCTTGTATCTGTTCGACCTGAACAAACATTCGAACAATTCAAGTGAGTAGTGTAAATTTGTATTTGCTATTTTTTATTCTCATCTAAAAAAAAACATTTTATTCAAGCCATTGACAACATGCCACATACATCTTGAGCTAACTTAGCTTCTAATAAATGGTTCTTCTGCTAGAGACATAAAATAATATTTGTCTTTATTTCAGAACTTCGACCGAGTCCTCAAATTACATCCGCGTTCCTAACCCTCAAGGATGTAGTGGAAGATTGGCTGTCCCACTCTGCGTACTCAATAATCAACCTCTCAAAACTCTTCAGATTCTTCTCACTGGACCCTAAAGCTGGGGACAAGCTGAAGTCTGAACCGATCGAAATCGATATTCTGCCCGAGACTGAACAAATAGATGCTCTGCTGGAAATGGGCACTTACTAATTTAACTCCTGCATCAATCATGTATTTTATTATAAAGATAGCTACTATATTTTAATAAAATTAAGGAATTAAATGTATTGAAAAGTAATAATTAGTTTTCTTATTTATCTTTGAGACAATAATTAGTATTGTTGACAAAGAAAACCCAAATTATTTTCAAATCTTTTTATTTTAAAATTTCATTATGCTATACATTTAAACATAGTTCATTGCACCTACAGTGCTCACATACATTTTAAATACATATATTACTTACACACCCAACGAATTAATAATAGAAATAAAAGTATTACACCTTCAAAATAATTTGCGTGCATAATGTTCTAATCCAGCTGTTTCAAGTAGATGAAGATTTAATTTAAACTTCATGACAATGACGACCCGCCCATTGACATTAAAATGCAAAAATTTTATTAAATGCGCAAACCCATCCAAGGCTGGTTTAACATTAATCCATTCCATTGTTTCTATTTCATTCGCATCATTATAAAAAAGGAGTGCGTAATTCTTTCACAACTATTATTATTTCGATGCAATATCATTTTAAAATACTTGTCAGTAGTGTACAATCGGATCGAATTAACTGCACAGGGAACTACGGGAGGTGTGCGAAGGAGTCGCATTCCAGTGAGGTGCGCAACTGCGCAGTTAGCTCGACCGGGTTGTAATTCGATATGCTCTCCACTTCAATAGTACTGGCCCCGTCCTCGACCTCGCATATTTCCGCCAAACTGTCCTCGCCCTCTGCCTCGGAAGTTTTTCTGGGGTTCATAACCTCCACGTTGATGCTGCATGCTATTACCCTGCATCCCACCTCCGTTCATGAAATTATTACCATTCCCTGAGTATTGATTATCAAAACCTCTAGGCCCTGACGGTCTATTGTCCTGGTTGTATCCTCCTCTATTATCGGATCCCCAATTGTTATTCGGAAAACCCATGTTGCCCTGCATATTTCTGTTGTCTGATAGCAGGACCCCCCTACTGTCGAGCAGGGGTGGTCTGACATGATTAAAGTTCCCTCTATTATCTGAACTGAAGTTTCCTCGATTATCAGAATTGAAGTTTCCTCGATTGTCTTGATTATACGGTACTTGATTATCCTGATTGAAAGTGCCTTGACTGTCTTGATTGTATAGTCCTTGATTGTCTTGGTTAAAAGAGACTTGATTATCTTGGTTAAAAGGTACTTGATTATCTTGGTTGAACGATCCTTGATTGTCTTGGTTGAAAGGTCCCCGATTACCTTGATTAAAAGGCTGACGGTTGTCGGGATTGAACCCTCCTCGATTGTCCTGGCCGAAAGGTCTGTTGTCTTGACCGAAAGGCCCTCGGTTGTCCTGATTGAATCCACGGTTGTCCTGATTGAATCCTCGGTTATCCTGATTGAAACCCATGGGACCGCGAGGTTGCTGATTGAACGACCCTTGACTGTCCTGGCCGTACGGTCCTCTATTCTCCATGCCGTATCCAGCTCCCGGATTAGCGGGCGGCATTTCCTGGCTCATATTGGAATTGGGTCTGGAGTTCCAGCTCTGCTCGTTGTCGTTGAAGCCGTCGGAGGTGTTCGTGTTTTGGTCAAAGGGTTGAACGTTAGTGGGGGTGGAGTGTGATCTGGCGGAGTCATTGGAAGCCATGGAGGCCTCGGGCAGGTCGCCGAAGGAACGCGGCTGCGTGAGGCTGGCGACGACGTCGGCGGCGGCGGCGGGCGCGGGCGCGGCGGCCGTGGACTGGATGGAAGCCTGCACCAGCGCTAACAAATCAGTCGCCGACGACATATGGATTGATAAATCTACTTTCGGCGCCGGCTTGGGCACCTCGGGAGTCGGCGTAGACTCTTTTGTGGTTTCTTCGAGAGATTTCTTTACGATCTCCATCTCTTGACGCATCTGATCTTCTTTCACTTTCTGCGTTGCCGATTGGAAAACCTGGAAGAGATTTTAAGATTTTTACTCAGAATTAAAAATAATGTAGGACCTAACTCTGGACTTTTTAAAAAAAAATTCTAGATCAAGGCTGGTCAACCCCAGGGCAAGAATTATAAGTGGCCCGCGCAAGTATGGTTTTATTGCACTTGTCCTGAGAGTAGCTGTAATAGGAAATGTAAGTGGCCCGTCGTTAACGACTGAATCCAGCAAATTGTCCCGACTCTTCAAAAGGTTGAGCAGCCTTGATCTAGATACATTTTTATCGCATGAAAAGGTTTTGGTTTATACTGTTTCATCATCATCATTTCAGCCATAGGACGTCCACTGCTGAACATAGGCCTCCCCCAATGCTTTCCATGTTGATCGATTGGTAGCGGCCTGCGTCCAGCGCTTCCCTGCTACCTTTACGATGTCGTCGGTCCACCTTGTAGGTGGACGTCCCACGCTGCGTTATACTGTTTAGTTGAAATAAAACCCTACACGAACTTGTAAATTATTCCAATATTTTACCATACAAGATATTCTTATGCTCGCACTGACCTCCTCAACCGTGTAGTCGTCGTCATCGCTCTCAATCGTAACGGGCTTGGTATCGGGCTCCCGCGCGGGCTCGGGCTCGGCGGCGGCGCTGACGTACTGACGCAGACGCTCCACGCGCTGCGGCTCGCGCGCCTCCAACTTCTTCAGATACGCGATCAAGCTGTGCTGCTCCTCTGCTGATAGCTCGTTGAAGTTCTTGAGCAATGTCTCGAGATCGGAGTCAGAGAGACCGTCCATCGCGTCCGGCGTGTAAACTTTGTCGTCTTTTTCGGTTCTACGGAAAAACACAATTTGAAATGTGACTAAATTGGGAGCGCTAGGAATATCCGACGAAAAAAAGGTTCGTTTTCCAATCTTTGGTATGGGTAAGCGATGGACTTCAGCGATATAATGTTTACCTCAAATTTTACTCGAAGCTTGCGATAAAAGCTCTGCGCACTCAAACAAAACACTTACGCCTGTATTCACAAACAATACTATGAGGTCTCACAGTGCGCATGGACGCACAGGGAGACACACGAACCAATCACAGAACTCTATTCAACGCTGTGCGTTCGATTTGCTACTTCACTTATGCAAGCATTATTTGTGAATACAGGCATAATTCTACTTCCAAAAATGTAACAAAGGGAAATTGCGGACGGGAGACTTAAGAAAGAAAGAAAGCTCTCTAAAATACTACGCATTTTACTGAACATACTTTTTGTCATTTTCATCGTACGCGGACTGCAGCATCTGCAGAGCGGACGCCGTTCCCGAAACCGCCGCGGGCAGAGGCTTCGGTTTCGGCGGCGCCGGCTTCGCTTCCAGTTTCTTCTTGGTCTCGGCCTCGCGTTTCTTGGCTTCTGCCATGCCGACTACGGCATCGACTAATTGTGCTAGTTCTTCGGAAGACACGTCGGTCTTGCCCTGCGCGATGAGGGCCTCGGCCATTTGCTGCGCGATCTGCGCGCGATCGACCTCGCCTACGCCCGCTACCGGCATTGGTGCCGGTTTCCCTTTGGCGGTTTTCTGTAATAATAATGTCTATTTGAACACGGAATTCTAAAGTTTAATATAACATGATTGTACAGCTGCCGACTAATGTTAATGTAGAGTGTGAAAATAGGCTCTTTAAGAGCATTTGACGATTTGCAAGAACTAATTTAATTTGTCTAAATAAATAAAGATAATTTTGATTTTGATTGAATGTCTTTAAGTGCGTGAAAGTGTGGTCTCTTGTAAAGGCTAGCTACACTTAATAAAGGTTAGGTAAATAGTAAATAATAAAGGAAGGCGCTGAATGCAGGCCGTGACCGCTAGCACTTCATTTTGAATAGGGTGCGTAATGGTAATGGTAGCGGTTCATACTCCAACCACCATCAAATAGAATGAAAATGAATCGAAATGTTTCTTGGATCATTCTTGTTATACTTTACAGATAAACATGTGTCAGAACGCAGAACCACCCGCTCTACCTAATATAAGTTTTATAGAAAACTAGTGTCAGGGACATCCTATGATCCACTCTGTCCATTGGGTAGTCAGCGTCAAATAGTTCGTGCCACCTAAAGCAGCCACAAAGTTCGGAACAGGTTTTTGTTACATTGGAGTAAGGTTATGTTGTCAACTGTTTCTTCACTTTCGATTACTATTCGAGTGAGTGTGTGTTTTACAAGGATTTTAGAGCAAGCAAATGCCACCTACAAAACGTAACGGACCTGATCTGTAAGCGGCCCGCGTCGCGGCCGCCGCCGCGTGCGAGGCCGCGTCCGCGTCCGCTTGCGGGCCCCGACGGTTACAGGCGCGGCCGCTATGGCGCTCTACAACAAAACGAAGTTTTGACTCAACATTGCTATTGCAATAAGCTTGAACCATTGAAAGGATGAGATTCAAAAAAGGATTAAATAAAAAGCCGATATCCGAGAAAAACTAGCAAAACTTCATTTTATTGTAGTAATTTGAGTAATATTTCACAAAATTACTTTCTAACAAGAATTTCATTACGATTACAGTTAAATAATGCGTTTTATTTTTTAAGGACAACCATCAATAATAATTTTCCTCTTTTATTTAGTTACTCACAGAAATTCAACTTTACTCTTTGATGGAACATCTTTTTTATAAGATGCATTGTTGCTATAGCTAAATAATTTGCGCACGTTAGGTATTAGACGCCAAAATAGCAAAACGTCATATTATGTCTACTAGAGTAGTGCAGTGGAAAGTCTAAAGTGTAAGAATGCAGCGTGTGTAGTATTAGTTGTGTGCGCCGAGGCCTAGCTGCACTGGATAGTGTAGTGTAGCTTGTGAGGCCTGGCTTCACTGGATAATGTAGTGTAGTCTGTGAGGGCTCCCCGCACTGAATAGTGCAGTGTGCAAGACTTGTCTGCACTGGATAGTGCAGTGTAGTCTGTGTACCTGGCTTCTCTAGATATAATGTAGTGCAGTCTGTGAGGCCTGGCTGCACTCGACAGTGCAGTGTGGTCTGTGAGGCCTAGCTGCACTCGATAGTGTAGTGTGGTCTGTGAGGCCTGGCTGCACTCGACAGTGTAGTGTGGTCTGTGAGGCATGGCTGTACTCAACAGTGTAGTGTGGACTGTGAGGCCTGGCTGCACTCGACAGGGTAGTGTGGTCTGTGCGGCCAGGCTGTACTCGACAGTGAAGTGTGGTCTGTGAGGCCTAGCTGCACTGGATAATATAGTGTAGCCTGTGAGGCCAGGCTTCACTGGATAATATAGTGTGGCCTGTGAGCCCTAGCTGCACTGGATAATGTAGTGTAGTCTGTGAGGCCTACCTGCGAGGCCTGGCTGCGCTGGTCGGCGGCGTGCAGCGTGGCGGCGGCGCGCACGACGGCGGAGCGCACGGCGGGCGCGGCGGCGGCCGGCACCAGCCCGGCCTGCATTGCGCCCTTGAGTTTCTCTTTCGCTGTCTCCATTAGAACCACTGCCGAATCGCGGACGAGGAGCTCTTCGGAGGAGTTCGCCTTTTCCTGAACAAGGAATGGAACGTTATTTTTAAATGAGGATTCATTTAAAATTTATTAATTTTTATACTTGTCAGGACTACAGGACCCTCAAAAATTATATTTTCTATGATGATAATGACATTTTATTCTATACCGTCTAAACAAATAAAACTAACAATGCTTCCGTCTGCATGTGTGAATACTAAAATGCAGAATAAATGACGAAATTAAGAAAATTATAAAAAAAGTTTTTTTTTATCAAAATCGATTTTGCTAGATTATGTAGAAAGGAACAATAATTAGACTAGTCTTTTTTTTTGTAAAAAAAAAACAATGAGACCCTAGTACTAACCGCTGTCACTACACGTGTTTTTCTGGATCTATTCGTAATCAGTGGGCTTAGTGCGACTTTATATCGATCGTGACAATGACATGCATTAAATGTATGATGATTGTACAGCGTCCCTAGCAGATACTTTCAAGAACTAAAATCTTAAACTTTATAGATCTTTTTGATGCACTCGTTAGCGACGGTAAATGCAAACTCGCACTAAGCACACAAAAAAAACTTTCTCAGTTAAATTACTCCAAAACTATTAAATTTCGGATTTTTTAAAATATCACGTGAGATTAGGGGGTGGGGGAGGGGGTCAGGCAAAATCTCACCAAATCTCACCAAGGGGGGCGGGGGGGTTGAAAAATAGCCAAAATTGTCTCACGTAATTTATGGACGCCCCCTTATATGTATCAATGATGAATTACCTCTCACTGTGACAAGCTTGCCAATGTGTTCTGCTTTCACATCTCTGATTGGCACTGACTTGGAGGAGGACATGTCTTTGAAGTACACCTCACTAAAATTACAAAAGAAGTTTATATTCATTTCTCCTGTTATTTTACTCTTAACTTTCAAGGCTATAAAATTAATTTTAGTAAGTTAGTATGCTGTAAACAGAAACATTTTTGCTGCCATAATATCAAAATACATTAGTGTCCGACCGAAACTAGTTTTACGACCGAAACCGAAACCGAAAACGAATTTCGGCAACGGTGTCTATTTCGGCCGAAACCGAAACCGAAACCGAAACTTCCTTACAAGGCTCATATTTTGAGGGAAAAATAAAGAAAACGTTATTATAATCAGTCAGTCTTTATTGTTTTCTCTTTAAATCACATAGATTTTCATGGTAAGACAAGTGTACTTAGTTTCAAACCAGTAATAGTTTGCCTTCTAGGCTCGGAACTTCCTAGTGAATATAATTTATTGCACTGTTCACTTAGCTTTAGATAAATCAGATGGTTGGATCGCCTTGTCAACAATGCCAGCTGCATTTTTTTTACTAGCTGACCCGGCGAACTTTGTTCCGCCTTAATGGCAATAAATAAGCAGACTTTTTTTTTATTTCGAACGGGAAAAAAAGTATCCTATGTCCTTCTCCTGGCTCTAAACTACCTCCCTGACAATTTTCAGCTACATCGGTTCAGCCGTTCTTGAGTTATAAGTGGAGTAACTAACACGACTTTCTTTTATATATATAGATTATATTAATTCGAGTGAGTGAGGATACCGGAGGCCCAATTGGGGGGGAATGGGATTTAAAAGGTTGGCAGCGCACTTGTGACTTCACTGATGTTGCGGGTGTACATGGGCGACGGCAATTGCTTACCATCAGGTGATCCGTCTGCTCGTTTGCCTCCTATCACATAAAAAAAAAAAAAAATTTACAGAAAACGTGTCAGAATGCAGAACCATCCGCTCTACCTAATATAAGTTTTACAGAAAACTAGTGTCAGTGACATCCTATTATCCACTCTGCCCGTTAGGTAGTCAGCGTCAAATAGTTCGTGCCACCTAAAGCAGCCACCGCCCTTCAGTTTCTCTTTCGCTGTCTCCATTAGAACAACTGCCGAATCAGGGACGAGCTCTTCGGAGGAGTTCGCCTTTTCCTGAACAAGGAATGGAACGTTGTTCTCACAAGGTATCGACCTAACGGCCGGTTCACACATAATAATCATTTATTTATTGCTTCATAAGTGTACATAGGTGGTGATCTTAAACTTAGTCTCAACTTATGACCCTGTAAGGGTGTTGCAAATCTTGTATCGTAGGTACATTACTAAATATTCTACTCCATTTTACTGTTCCGTTTTATCATCGTCATGTCTCCGTTTTACTGTTCCGTTTTATCGTATACGTTTATTTTCGTCGATGGCGTATGTAGTTGTATGAGCGACTTCACACATGACACAGTATTCTGTATACAGTAATACATACATCAACGAAAAAAAAACGTACACGATAAAACGGAACAGTAAAATGGAAACATGTACGTGTGAACCAGCCGTAAAGCCGGGTCCAGGCGGGTGTAATAATAACACGAATTCTACGTGTGCATTACATGGAAGTGCTGCATATACTATTTCCATTACATTACGCGATACATTCTATTACGCGTTAGACCCGTCTTGACCCGGATTAACGATTATACTCAGGGGAGATTTGCGCGGAGTTTCAACTGATTTTGCAGATTATCACAAAAGGTACAGAAAAAGTATATCAGATTAAACTAAAATTTGGTGGCAAAATCGGTTTTCACAACCCCGAGTGCTGAGCTTTAAAAGCCACGCGTTCGTTGGACTATAACTAAACAATAGGCGCGATAACAACACCACTGAAGAGACATACAGGTTATCCTAAAATTTTATCTTGAATCGCCATTTCAGCGTAGAACATCGCAATAGCATTTACCTTCTCCATCCTCAAAGCTTCAGTCAACAAATCAACTATCTTAGGTCCCAAGCTGCCTAAGTAGTCTTCCAAGGCCACCAGCAGCCGTAACGTCGCCACTATATTCTCAGGGGGCCCCAAGTCCGAGGGTTCCGCGGGCCGCGAGTACTCGCGAGGAGGCCGCGACTGGCGGGACTTCTCGCTTCCCGCGCAGGACATGCGAGCGTCTGGGAGCGAGCCGAAGGAACCGTCGTTGTCGGAATCCCACGGGGATAAGTTGTTGTCGTCGCTGTGGAATTGAGAAATCTTTAACAATGTTTTGCAAGTGCATACATTTTATAAATGAAATAATAAGACATTCATACAAATATACTAGAGGCCCGCTCAGTAAAATCGTCACATGATGACACAAGTCTTCATGTCGCTAAGCTGATGGAAATTACACGCCATTTTGATAGAGAGAGAGACATCAAATCAAATATTTTTATTGCATAAGGTACATACAGGTCACTCATAAACCATAGACATTTTTTTTTCTCTTGTTCAGTGTTTCTTTAAATTATTTAATGTTACATACTCAATATTTTATTGCATCCATTATGTACTTAAAATTAGAACATTATGGGCCATTTAATTTATAAACTGCATGTATTTTATTTGTGACCTAAATGTATGATATGTTTATTTTATTTTTAAGCTTGTAAGCGCTTTGGACCTGCTCCGTAAGCTTACAAGTGTTTTGCATTAATAAATAAATAGAGCAATCCTTAACTAGCAAGGTAGCAGGAAGGCGCTACCAACCGTGCGATGTGGAAGTCATTGGGGGGGGGGGGCTATGTTCAGCAGTGGACGTCCTATGGCTGAAATGATGATGATGAATCCTCAACTAAGTCTTCTAAAGGCCCGCCGCGGGGTGAACAGTGATCCACCGTACGCTTTTACACAAAACAGATCCGTAAGAGGACATTGGCGCGAGGTTTCCGACTCCCACAACAGTGGACCTTAAGAACTTCAGTTCTATCTAATGTCGGCCGTTTGGTGTAGTGGTTCAGAACGGACTACTATGCCGAGAGATCCCGGGTTCGATTCCCGGCCGGGCAGAAATGGAAATGATGAATTTTAATATCTGTGACGGGTCTGGGTGTTACTATGTATAATATGTATGTATTTAAAAAAAAAGTATATAAGTAGTATATGCTCTAAGCTAGCACCCATAACACAAGCATTAAGTTACTTTGGGGCAAGCTGGCGCTGTGTAAATTGTCCAAAGATATATTATCTACTTACGGCTTGAGCTCTTCGTCGGAAATGAGTACGGTCTGCAGTGAGGGCGCGACTTCGGGTGCGGCGCGCGCGGGGCTCCTATTGCGAAGCGCCGCGGAGTCGTCACGGCGCGAGAGAGGACTATGGCTGCGGCGTAAGCTGTCCATCTGGATGTGAGTGCGGATCGGACTGCGAGCCCTGTAAGGCCCAGAACACACGGTGAAACGCAATGAGGGCTATCGTTTTTATACTTAACAGTTGGCACCCCTGGCGATTGACAGGACCTTACTCTACAGTGGCGCCATCTTGATGAGTGCAAATGCGATTCCTCCTACCACTTCAGCACTCACCAGTTGGTGCCACTGTCTTCGCTACTAGCAAGTGACAGGACCTTACTTACAGTGGCGCAAACTGGTGAGCGCTAAAACGATAGCCCTCATTGCAACGAAACTGCAACTTCTAGTTACTTTTGAGTTGCATCTAAGTTTCTGCCATAGATTCCGTTGAGAGACCACACATGACGCGACCATTTCAAACCGGTTTCAAACTGGTCAAATTATAATACAGCTGTTTTACAGCTCAAAAAGAAAGATAAGGACACGCATAGGTCTACAATGAAATGGGGGAGTGGTGGAGTCGCCAGTCACTTGACATATTTTTAACAGCTGTTTCGATCACGATTGTCCTATGGATTTTGTACGGCAAAGACAAGCTTTGATTTCACTTTAGCGCCGACTCAATTGACTTCCAAATCCATTATACTAATTTTACCAAAAAAAGAAAAATGCTAATGGTACTTTCATTTAAAACTTTGGGCTTACCTAGGAATTGGACTGCGAGATCGTGGCCTGGAGTGCCTCGGTGGCGAAGGCCGACGATCCATAGATTTGTGGTGTCCAGGCGACCTTTAGGGAATAAAATAAAGTGTTAAAAAAATTACCCACGAAACATTGTGAAATTTTTAAAAAGCATTATCATAGAGATGACCCACGCTGAACTGTCCCACCAGACTCAATGACAGGGGGGCGCTACCATCGTTCAACTATATGGTTTCCAACATGGCAAAAATCGGAAGCAGCGATCCGGTATTGACGGTGGCGCCCCACTGTCAATGTCATGGATAGGACAGTTCAGTATTTTGGAACTATAGCTATAATTTTCGCCGCGTCGACTGCACGACGACGCACGAAGTGTAGGGGTCTCTAAACCTCACCTGAAATCGCGATGGAACCGATCATTCATCGGTCTCCAGCGCTCGGGCGGTATCCTTCTATCAGGCGTGCGGCGGCCTCTCTCCGGCGTGCGATGCCTGGGCGACCGCCGGCGCATGTCAGGCGGCGACCGACGGCGCATATCGGGCGGCGACCGACGGCGCATGTCGGGCGGCGACCGACGGCGGTGGTCCGGCGACCGCCGGCGAGGGTCGGGCGACCTGCGCCGCTCGGGCGATCGGCGGCGCTCGCGCGGGTCCGGCGACCTTCGGCGAGGCTCAGCTGATCTCTCCGATCTGTAATGGTTTGTGTTTCAATATCATGTGACATATTTCAACGGAACGGAATATCCTCTCCTGTCACAAGCATATTAATTGATTAAAAGGATGTTAAATACTATTTGACTAGTTAAATATTTCCGAGCACGGTCTAGCTAAGTGACGTCATAGTAAGGGTCGCAGCGCGCGCTATAAATTCGGAGTCAGGATAGTGTGTTCAGAGTATCGCTGAGCGAGGCGCTTTTTGGCATAAGGTAAAGCTGCTTGTAGCAACCCTAATGGTTTCTGTAGCGTGGCTTGTTTTTTTTTTTTGTTATTTGCTGTACCTTCCTGTAGGCCTAGGATGCGCGCCGCGATAAGCGGTTATCACGCCGTTTTATGGATTTTGCCCATACATTTTGACGTCGATAAAGTATATCACGGCACGCTTCCTGGCCCAGCCCAGCCTGGCTGACTGCCAAAAAAAAGCCTTAGAGCGCTTTCACATTAGGGCGTTAGAAGTGCGACAGCAACGCGTTAGCGGCGTTTTTATAATGTGAAGGGATGCATCCGCTGTCACATAATATGAAATTTTCAGCAGCGTGTCTGTCGTGCGCTGCTAAATCGCCTAAATATATCAACCGCCTCTGTGGTCTAGTGGTAAGTAAGACCAACTTACTTAAGTCTGTCGCCATAACAACAATGTTAACAACATTGTTGTGTTCCGTCAGTTAGAGGTAAGACAGCCAGTTCCTCCGTGGTTGAGGATTCCGGGTGAAGCTCGCTTCCACCTTCGGCCCGATCACCACTTACCATCAGGTGAGATACAGGCCAAGAGTTTCCTCGTTGTGGTTAAAAAAAAATGTCAAACCGCTCTTAGGCCTCAGCCTCGAATTTAGCGGGCAGCGGGGCGGCGGCGGTAGCGGCGCGGGAGCGGNGTAATGGATAAAAGACGTAAAGTTATCATTTGTGTAAATGAAAACATACTTTTTTTGGTAAATGTTGCCATTATGTAAACATTTGAGAGCTGCTTAGCTGATCACGGCTTCAAATCCGTTGAGTAGCGTTTGAGAATACCATTTAAAATTGAAGGATACTTAAATTTAGGAGCCCGTCAGCTGAGTGACAGATTTGAGTAGTGTTTCAGTATTCGGCCGCTAGAGTAGTGTAGTGTAGAAAAGTCTAAAGTGTAAGAATGCAGCGTGACAGAGGCGAGTGTAGTTTTAGTTGTGTGCGTCGAGGCCTAGCTGCACTGGATAGTGTAGTGAGGCCTGTGAGGCCTGGCTGCACTGGATAATGTAGTGTGATCTGTGGGGCCTAGTTGCACTGGTTAGTGTAGTTATAATCTATGAGGCCTGGCTGTTTTCCAGCCACTGGACAGTGCACCGTGAAATTGACTTCACTGGATAATGTAGTGTGGTCTATGAGGCCTGGCTGCACTGGATAATGTAGTGCGGTCTGAGGCCTGGCTGCTTTCCAGCCACTGGACAGTGCACCGTGAACTTGACTTCACTGGATAATGTAGTGTGGTCTATGAGGCCTGGCTGCACTGGATAGTGTAGTGTGGTCTGAGGTCTGGCTGCACTGATTAGAGTAGTTATAATCTATAAGGCCTGGCTGCTTACCAGCCACTGGACAGTGCACCGTGAACTTGACATCACAGGATAATGTAGTGTGGTCTATGAGGCCTAGCTGCACTGGATAGTGTAGTGTGCAAGACTTGTCTGCACTGGATAGTGTAGTATAGTCTGTGAACCTGGTTTCACTGGATAATGAAGTGTGGTCTGTGAGGCCTAGCTGCACTGGATAATATAGTGTAGCCTGTGAGGCCAGGCTACACTGGACAGTGAAGTGTGGTCTGTGAGGCCTAGCTGCACTGGATAATATAGTGTGGCCTGTGAGGCCTACCTGCGAGGCCTGGCTGCGCTGGTCGGCGGCGTGCAGCGTGGCGGCGGCGCGCACGACGGCGGAGCGCACGGCGGGCGCGGCGGCGGCAGGCACCAGCCCCGCCTGCATGGCGCCCTTCAGTTTCTCTTTGGCTGTCTCCATTAGAACCACTGCCGAATCGCGCACGAGGAGCTCTTCGGAGGAGTTCGCCTTTTCCTGGACAAGGAATGGAACGTTATTTTTAAATGAGGATTCATTTAAAATTTATTAATTTTTATATTTAACTAGCTGACCCGGCGAACTTTGTTCCGCCTTAATGGCAATAAATAAGCAGACTTTTTTTTTATTTCGAACGGGAAAAAAAGTATCCTATGTCCTTCTCCTGGCTCTAAACTACCTCCCTGACAATTTTCAGCTACATCGGTTCAGCCGTTCTTGAGTTATAAGTGGAGTAACTAACACGACTTTCTTTTATATACAGGGTGGAAACGATAAGTGATCTCACTCGATTATTTCTAAACTACACAATATATCGAAAATCTGGTTACTGATCCTGAAAGTGCTTTACGAGCTCTTTCAAACGGTATCAGTAATAGGTTACAGAATTAATTGGATCTATCCGAAAATTCAATGTTTTCAGCCTCCATACTAAATGTATGCCAGCCACACAATATGAAAAGTGTATTTTTTTTAATTAAATAATAAACACTTAAAATGAACTCGTAAATTGCATTCTTATTTAAAATTATTCATAGAAAACGTTGGTTTTAGTCTTTACTTGCTATAATATTATCAAGACATGAGTGCCATGACTGTGGCAGTACTAAATGTATGGAAGCTGGAAACATTGAATTTTCGAATAGATCCAGTTTATTTTGTAACTTATTATTGGTACCGTTGAATAGAGCTTATGAAGCACTTTCAGGATCAATAACTAGTTTTTGGATATCTTGTATAGTTTTTAATATTATGTGGATTTACTGAATGTATGGAAGCTGGAAACATTGAATTTTCGGACAGATCCACTTTATTTTGTAACCTATTACTAGTACCGTTGGATAGAGCTCATGAAGTACTTTCAGGATCACTAACCAGTTTTTGGAAATCTTGTATAGTTTAGAAATAATCGAGTGAGATCACTTATCGCTTCCACCCTGTATATAGATTATATTAATTCGAGTGAGTGAGGATACCGGAGGCCCAATTGGGGGGGGAATGGGATTTAAAAGGTTGGCAGCGCACTTGTGACTTCACTGATGTTGCGGGTGTACATGGGCGACGGCAATTGCTTACCATCAGGTGATCCGTCTGCTCGTTTGCCTCCTATCACATAAAAAAAAAAAAAAATTACAGAAAACGTGTCAGAATGCAGAACCATCCGCTCTACCTAATATAAGTTTTACAGAAAACTAGTGTCAGTGACATCCTATTATCCACTCTGCCCGTTAGGTAGTCAGCGTCAAATAGTTCGTGCCACCTAAAGCAGCCACCGCCCTTCAGTTTCTCTTTCGCTGTCTCCATTAGAACAACTGCCGAATCGCGGACGAGGAGCTCTTCGGAGGAGTTCGCCTTTTCCTGGACAAGGAATGGAACGTTGTTCTCACAAGGTATCGACCTAACGGCCGGTTCACACATAATAATCATTTATTTATTGCTTCATAAGTGTACATAGGTGGTAATCTTAAAGTTAGTCTCAACTTATGACCCTGTAAGGGTGTTGCAAATCTTGTATCGTAGGTACATTACTAAATATTCTACTCCGTTTTACTGTTCCGTTTTATCGTATACGTTTTTTTTCGTCGATGGCCTATGTAGTTGTATGAGCGACTTCACACATGACACAGTATTCTGTATACAGTAATACATACATCAACGAAAAAAAAAACGTACACGATAAAACGGAACAGTAAAATGGAGACATGTGTGAACCGGCCGTAAAGCCGGGTCCAGGCGGGTGTAATCATAACACGAATTCTACGTGTGCATTACATGGAAGTGCTGCATATACTATTTCCATTACATTACACGATACATTATTTATTATGCGTTACACCCGTCTTAACGATTATACTCAGGGGAGATTTGCGCGGAGTCTCAACTGCCTTTAGCAGATTGCAGATCACAAAAGGTACAGAAAACAGAAAAAGTACATCAGATTAAAATAAAATTTGGTTGCAAAATCGGTTTTATTACAACCCCGAGTGCTGAGCTTTAAAAGCCACGCGTTCGTTGGACAATAACTAAACAATAGGCGCGATAACACAACCACTGAAGAGACATACAGGTTATCGTAAAATTTTATTGAATTCTAACTAATTTTTAATCGCTAACCTCCGCGTACAAATGTCGGAATCGTGAAATTTACCTTCTCCATCCTCAAAGCTTCAGTCAACAAATCAACTATCTTAGGCCCCAGGCTGCCCAGATAGTCTTCCAAGGCCACCAGCAGCCGTAATGTGGCCACTATATTCTCAGGGGGCCCCAAGTCCGAGGGTTCCGCGGGCCGCGAGTACTCGCGAGGAGGCCGCGACTGGCGGGACTTCTCGCTTCCCGCGCAGGACATGCGAGCGTCTGGGAGCGAGCCGAAGGAACCGTCGTTGTCGGAATCCCACGGGGATAAGTTGTTGTCGTCGCTGTGGAATTGATAAATCTTTATTTAGCAATGTTTTGCAAGTGCATACATTTTGTAAATGAAATAAGACGTCCATACAAATACATTATATTAAAGAGGCAGTGCCTCAGCAAAATCGCGACATGATGACATAAACGTCTTTTCGCTAAGATTACACATTTTGATAGATATCATATCAAGTCAATTATTTTTATTGCATATGTAGATACATACTGGTCACTCATAAACCATAGAGCAATCCTCACCTAAGTCTTCTAAGGTTCGCCGTGATCCACCGTACGCTTTTACACAAAACAGATCTACAAGAGGACATTGGCGCGAGGTTTCCGCCTCTCACAGTGGACCTTAGGAACTTTAGTTCTATCTACTTACGGCTTGAGCTCTTCATCGGAGATGAGTACGGTCTGCAATGAGGGCGCGACTTCGGGCGCGGCGCGCGCGGGACTCCTGTTGCGAAGCGCCGCGGAATCATCACGGCGCGAGAGAGGACTATGGCTACGGCGTAAGCTGTCCATCTGGATGTGAGTGCGGATCGGACTGCGAGCCCTGTAAGGCCCAGAACACACGGTGAAACGCAATGAGGGCTATCGTTTTTATACTTAACAGTTGGCACCCCTGGCGATTGACAGGACCTTACTCTACAGTGGCGCCATCTTGATGAGTGCAAATGCGATAGTCCTCCTACCACTTTAGCACTCACCAGTTGGTGCCACTGTCTTCGCTACTAGCAAGTGACAGGACTTTACTCTACAGTGGCGCAAACTGGTGAGCGCTAAAACGATAGCCCTCATTGCAACGAAACTGCAACTTCTAGTTACTTTTGAGTTGCATCTAAGTTTCTGCCATAGATTCCGTTGAGAGACCACACATATGTCGCGACCATTTCAAACAGGTTTCAAACTGGTCAAATTATAATACAGCTGTTTTACAGCTCAAAAGGAAAAGATAAGGACACGCATAGGTCTACAATAAAATGGGGGAGTGGTGGAGTCGCCAGTCAATTGACATATTTTTAACAGCTGTTTCGATCACGATTGTCCTGTGGATTTTGTACGGCAAAGACAAGCTTTGATTTCACTTTAGCGCCGACTCAATTGACTTCCAAATCCATTATACTAATTTTACCAAAAAAAAGAAAAATGCTAATGGTACTTTCATTTAAAACTTTGGGCTTACCTAGGAATTGGACTGCGAGATCGTGGCCTGGAGTGCCTCGGTGGCGAAGGCCGACGATCCATAGATTTGTGGTGTCCAGGCGACCTTTAGGGATCAAAATGAAGTATTTTAAAAATTACCTTCTAATCGAAACATAGTCATCATTTAGAAAAAAATTAACCCTCCTTTTGGCGCCGTCGGGTAAAAGAGCTATAATTTTTAACAAGCTTTATAATAGCTATAATTTTCGTCGTTTCGACGCTGCGCGGGCGCTGGTAAGACGACGACACGCTCGATAGACGTTAGTGTAGTCTCTAAATCTCACCTGAAATCGCGATGGTACCGATCATTCATCGGTCTCCACCGCTCGGGCGGTATCCTTCTATCAGGCGTGCGGCGGCCTCTCTCCGGCGTACGATGCCTGGGCGACCGCCGGCGCATGTCAGGCGGCGACCGACGGCGCATATCGGGCGGCGACCGACGCCGCATGTCGGGCGGCGACCGACGGCGGTGCTCCGGCGACCGCCGGCGAGGATCAGGCGACCTGCGCCGCTCGGGCGTTCGGCGGCGCTCGCGCGGGTCCGGCGACCTTCGGCGAGGCTCAGCTGATCTCTCCGATCTGTAATGGTTTGTGTTTTAATATCATGCGACATATTTTAAACTTATAACGGAAACGGAACGGAATATCCTCTCCAGTCACAAGCATATTAATTGATTAAAAGGATGTTACACAATATTTGAGGAGTTAAATATTTCCGAGATTACGCCGCTCGCACAGTCTAGCTGAGTGAAGTCATAGTAAGAGTCGCAGCGTTCGCGCGCTCTAAATTCAGGAGTCGGGACTCACATTGACATGGTATGTTCAGAGTATCGCTGAGCGAGGCGCTTTTTGGCATAAGGTAAAGCTGGTTATAGCATTTGGGTTTCTGTAGCGTGACTAGTATTTTTTTTTTATTTGCGTTTTTATAATGTGAAGGCTGTCACATAATATGAAATTTTCGGCAGCGGGTCCCGGGTTCGATTCCCAGTGTGGGCAGATTTTTCCGTTCGGTTTGGTTGGTGGTAGGGCTTGTTCTAAGTCCGCCTGGCTAGCAAGCTACCACCATCTTACCTAAGTCTGTCGCCACAACAACAATGTTAACAATATTGTTGTGTTCCGTCAGTTAGAGGTAAGATAGCCAGTTTCTCCGTGGTTGAGGATTCCGGGTGAAGCTCGCTTCCACCTTCGGCCTGATCATCACTTACCATCAGGTGAGATACAGGTCAAGAGTTTCCTCGTTGCGGTAAAAAAAAAATGTCAAACCGCTCTTAGGCCTCAGCCTCGAATTTAGAGGGCAGCGGGGCGGCGGCGGTAGCGGCGTGGGAGCGGCAGGATCTTATGCGTAAAATCAAATAGACCGGTTCTCGAAAACAGAGGCGCGGGAGCGGGCAACGAGCGGGCAGCGCACTCCTTCTTTTGCCCACAATAAATCGAGCGTTAGGAATAAATTTGAATCGAAATAAAATTTTCGCCGTTGTTCAGACATTTCGTTTGCGAATAAAAACAAATATCTCGACAACACAACCCCGAACACAACACTTCGCCGCTAAAGCGCCGCGCGAGCTGCCCGCTTGTTTCGAAAACGGGTCTGCGTTGCCCGCCCCGCTCCCGCGCCGCCGCCGCTCCCGCGCCGCTGCCCGCTAAATTCGAGACTGAGGCCTTACCTGTGCGCGGCGTCGGGCGGCTTGGCGGCGGGCTCCGCGTCGGGCAGCGGCAGGCACATCTTGCGGTAGATCTCGGTGACGATGCAGCGCAGCTCGTCCTCGTGCAGCTGCTTCATGCGCACCGTCCAGTACTTGATCCACTCCGGCTTGAAGTCGTGCTTCGACGGGTCCTTGCCCTCTGCGGGAAACGACAACGTGATATCATAGTGTGCTGCGACCGTATTTATTTTTTTGTAATATGTAACTAACTATGTAATAGAATCTAAGAATCTGAATTACACGCACTTCTAATTCTTGTATCATCATGAAACTTGGCAATTAGTCGTGTTGTCGAGTCGGGAGGTGGCCATAAGGAACGAAACGGATTTAACGAAACGGCGGAAACTTAGGCCCGAAACTGTGTTAAGCGGGGACCCGCGCGGTTTCATACAAAAGTGGTCCGTCTCGGAGACCCGCAACGGAGCCCGTCTATCAGCGACGGTGCCCATCGCGGAGGCACGCGCGGGGCCGGCTTACGGGTTGGCAGCGTTCTAAGCTAAATATGCTTGTAACACGAGTGGGCTCACCACAAAAAACTACGTGAGTTTCAGCGTAGACCCATATTATCAAAATCAGCTTGGTGGGGCAGCCATTTTTTCGAAAAGTACGAGTAGAATATGACAACACGACTAAAATAAAAATTAAAATTCATAAAATTCATTTATTTTTGCAAATAGGCTTTTAAAAAGCGCTTTTACACGTCCCATTATTAACCCTACCACTGGATTGGATAACATAAAAGGCAAGTAAAGGAAAAATGCCTCCGCAAAGTTAATGCCAGCCATGTCACGCTGAGTTTACCTGCTTGTATCTCCTTGTAGCGGCGGTTCCAGAACTTCTTCCACTCTTCAGGGTACAGGGGGTGTTTTTCAGGATTCTTCTCGTGGTAGGCGAGCGTCTTCTTGGCGGCTTCCTCGGCCGCTTGCTTCTGTTCCGATGCCAACTTCTGCTTGTACTCGTAGTTTGGCGGCTTGATCTGTACAAGCATATGTACTAATTGTTATATACCAATATAAGAGGGGTTTAAAATAATACAAATAATAGGAGGTCATTGTATTTCACGCTGATAAAAACAATAAAACTGTATCGTCTGTAACTTATAGGCTTTGCTTAGCATAATAAACATGATTTTATCTCTAACTAAACCCTGTTTATCATTAACTTTATCTTTTCACTTGGATCGATATTAGTAAACAGTATTATTTTACTTCATAAAGAACCTTATTCAAACTTAAAAAATTGCGGATTTGATCCAGATCTTCTCGAATTTTCCAACAAAGTGAGCAATTTTTTAAATATTTAATAAGTTATAACATATTTAAAAGTAGAAAATGAGCGTAGACTTGCATGAATCAAATAAAATCCTGAAGTCACGTGTAGGCTCGGTTTCCACCAGGGCGGAGCGAAATGTTTTGAATAACCAATCACATTTCATTCTGTCAACGTCTGATTGATTGTCCAAAAAATTTCCCCGCTCGGCTCCGTCTTGGTGGCAACCGGGCCTTAGTTGCGACTATGCTCACCTTTTCTAAGTTCTTCTCTGACGTAGGCTTGCCCTTCTCATATCGTAGTTTCCGATAGGGCTCGTAGCGTCTCTCGCCCGGTCTCCCTCTGCGATAATAATTCCAAATTATTGTGTATCGATTAAATCGGTAAAAGAATATAAATGGGTTTTCTACGTTTGTTCAACTTTAATACTTTTTGAACTCGTACTAAACCCGCTATAAAATTTTCAATTAGCATCTCCTTGCTCCCTCAGTGTTACTTGTAGCTGAGGTATAAAGGTGAATATAGACTAGCTAGAGCATTATCTTGTTACCTGTAGCTGAGGTATAAAGATGAGTACAGACTAGAGCATTATCTTGTACCAGAAAAACGAGTAACCGAGAACCAAACGTACATTTTCGCTGTATTGAACCATTCGTAACAACGTTACATTACATATAAATGCTCCAGTCACAATGGTTCTTAACCTTTAAGTCACGAGGGACCATTTTACCAAATTTCTGTCTTGTCAGGGACCACTTTTTTTTTCTTCAAAATCCTATGAAAGGGGAGGTCGATATCTCGCCCACTATGCGCCATTTCCGTTGTGTTGACTCAACTTATCACGTCACGTCACTTGTTTATTACAATGTCTTCGTGGACCACTTGGAATGCCTCCAGGGACCACCAGTGGTCCGCGGACCACCGGTTAAGAACCAACATAGAAATGCTCTAGTCTATACTCAACTTAAGAAGTATGTAGTATTGTACCTGTATCGGTCGTCAATAAGCGGACGGCGGTGCTCCGGCTCGTCGCTGATATCAGAGAGCGCGTCCACAGAAATACGCCGCTCGTGTCTAGGGCGCTAGAAAAACGAAACATTTCTGTATATCTATCTGACCGCAATATAAAATATGTCAGTGCAATGGCAGTATAAAGGCGGATTTATATTTATCTGACGTGGCCCGTGACGCATCAGAACGGAATCGGTTTCATACATTTAGTTATGCGACACGTAAGAAGTCTCTCAAGATCAAATTAAGATGTATTTTAATAATAACTCACTGTATGACTATTGAATAGAGGTTTCGCTGGAGCTTGCACCACAGGCGGGGATGGTTCTTTTTTGTCTTTCATCTTTTCACCTGAAAATGAAAAAAATATTTACTAGTATGAAAAAGAAATTGCACTAGTTCTTCTTAAGGTGCTGTTATATTAACTTCAGCTTATAGTCTGTAAATTGTTCAAACTAGATATTTTCAAAGATGCACAAAACTAGTAATTATTTTAACCCATGAAGTCGTTTAAGCGTTTATTATGTGCGCTATATTGAAATAATATAACAATAATTCATGCATACTCACTAGATTTGTGTAGAGATTCTATGAGGCCGACGTCAACGACCTCTTCGAAGGTAGCGCCCTCCTTCTCGGCGAAATGGTAGCCCTTATAAATCCACTGGTGTATGCGATCCCTGTAACAAAGTTTTATTATTTACTTCAATATAAATTAAGCTGTCTTACTTATGTATTCTTTAACCCTAAAAAAACCTTAACTGCCAACTTTACACTGTCCCCTTAAAATTTATTTTCATATAGGTCGCTCAACGAGAGTTGAGGCCATCAACACAAGCAAAGATTTGTATCTGTTATACTCTGTCTTGCGTAATTGGACTGACAAGTGCTGTCTTGACTCGCTTGCAGACACTGAAAAACCCGTGACTTTTGGGTCTTCCTCACCGTTCCTTCCTCCACTCCTTGATACACTACACAACAACATGTCAGCATTGTCAGCTAAAGACAATGTTGCTACACTCGATATTGAATCTTAAGTGGGCTTTGTCGATGTTGACGGGCTGAAGGCGCCCAAACTTGTCCTCGATACGCTGCATGAGGCGGTTGGTGATGAGCCCCACGCCTTTGCGGTACCAAGTGTATTATACCTTGATACAATACACGGGATTGTTGTTACACGCGATTATGTACCTTAAGCGGAGCACTCACCGTTCCTTCTCGTACTCCTCCTTGTCGATGTTGACGGGCTGAAGGCGCCCGAACTTGTCCTCGATACGTTGCATGAGGCGGTTGGTGATGAGCCCGACGCCTTCGCGGTACTGCGCTTGCCCACGGTACGGCGCTAGTAGCGCGCCTGCTTTGGGGAAATGCAGCGTCTGGGGGCAAAGGCAATGGCTAGTAATACGCTAGTTGACAGTCAATTTAAAAAGTATGAACTGTCGGAACGCGGTACTCTCATAGATTTTGAGTTGCTGATCACGTATACGATACTCGTATCATGATGTGTTCACAAAGGAATATACAAAAGTTCGCACTAATGTCCGGTCGCCGAGCACGTAGAATTTCGTCCAATGCAATGACTCCAAGCTACCCATCCTTGTCGCTCGCGCGTAATTATCTGTGCGACGGGCGGCCGCAGTGATTGTGCGAGCGCGACAGCAATATAATTACCCGCAAGCGATAAAGATGGGTAGCTTGGGGTCATTGGACGCAATTCTACGTGCTCGGCGACCGGACTTTAGTTTAAAATTTCCTACATTTTAGAGCTGCTTCATGAGCGACAGCAAGTTGAAACTTCATCATTTTGGATCATAAGAATATCGCCACTACCTGAACCAAAGTTCCCCTAGACAGGAAACGCGCTGAGATGTGCGCCCGCGCATCTAAGCTCGCTAGATCTCTTTTACCGCTTTTGTTTTGGTCACTGATCTCGGCACATATCCGCAGGCAGAGACAAATTATGACGGCCGCACATATTTGTATCTTCTTAGGCGGGTTTTAGAATCGCGCGTTCCTGAGTGACGCTGATCGCTCGGCGCCGACGCTTCATACATTTCGGCTGTCAGCGCTGACGGTCAGCGTGCGTCAGCGTGACTGTAAAACCAGCCTTAAACAAAATGTCACTCACCAAGTAATGGTAGCGATGCCAGAAGCAGGTCAGGTGGTTGATGATGGTGCGCGGGTGCCCGTGCTTAGTGCACAGCGTGCACACGTACGACGGCTCGTAGTGCGCCTCCTCCGGCGGGTGCTCCACCAGGTATTCTAGCCCGATCAGCGGCGCCCTAGGAAATGAGAGGCTTTATCCACTGCTTCATAAAAACTTTTGAAAAACACGTTTAGCGCTCCTGCACACGACGCCGCCACCGCGCCGCCGCCGCGCCGTTGCCGCGCCCCTACACTGTTCATACGCGTCGAGTAAAGCACGCCGCCGCGTCGCCACCGCGCCATCAAAGCATAATTTTGCCAGCGGCGCGGCGGCGGCGCGGCAGCGGGCTTCACGCGGCGCGTATATACAGTGCAAAGGCGCGGGGGCGGCGCGGCGGCGGCGTCTTGTGCAGGAGCGCTAAACGTGTTTTGTCCCAGTATTAACCCTACAACTGCTTCGGGACAATAAATAGGCCAGTGCTGAGAAGAAGCAGCGCAAGAAACTCAATCTGATGATGAACAGTCGAGACTAACTAAATGACCTGACGGTCTCTACTGCAGGAACACAGACCTTCTCCATTATATCAGAGGCTAAAGGAAGATTTGGAGTACACTACCCACACTGGCAGACGGGTTGAGGAGGCCTGATGTTTGCATATTTCTCCCTCAGTTCAGTAGCCTTTTACGAAATTTTTCCTCGTACGTACGTCTTTTAAGGCCGAGCTGCAAAGCTGCGTTGGAAAGATTGAATAAAATGGAAGAATAACAAAATATTAAAACTTACTTGACTTGATCAATCGAGTCTTGAATGTGGCACCGGATCCCGCGGTATTTGTTGTACTTCTGATCCAGCTCAGAGTCTTCATTGTGGTACTTCACTTCCTCAGCCATTTTCTTGAGAACTTTCTCGGTGGCTGTTGAATATTTAAATGTTAATTAACATAATTTTAATAGATAAATATCTTAACAAATAATAACTTGTATCTATTCATATCTTTAGAAATAATACTAAATGGTACTAAAGAATATTAAATAGAACAAATCGAAAATTATTATACCTTCGGCTTTCTCCTTGACGATGCCTTTCTCGGTGAGAATATAAGGATGCTGCTCGAATATGCTGACCGGCCACATATTTTTCAACGACAGCTTCGTCTTGTGCTTTTTTCCCGATATGTGTGTCTGGAATTGAAAAAAATATTAGAATCTGAATATTGCGTAAAACAAATTACTATCGTCGTCGTTTCGTCTTGTTGTTTGAAGTTCGTCGTAAGCACAAATACAATAAAAAGTATTGTTATTCATCATCATCATCATTTCAGCCATCGTTCTATGGAGAGGGCTATGCCCGGTGTTTCTTTACGAGATCGAATCAGAAATGCGGAGATCCGTAAAGTGAAGTTATTAATCCTTGAATATTTATTTATAACATTATTCAAGCATAACATGTTACTACCCCATAAAAGTAGCAGGAAGGCGCTGGATGCAGATCGCTACCAAACGATCAATCTGGAAATCATTGGTCACCTATGTTCAGCAGTAGACGTCCTGTGGCTGAAATGGTAATAATTTATGACTACACCACACCTGCAAAATACTCTCCCCGCTGCAAACAGCCGCGCACGGGTAGCACAGGTAAATCCATTTGCCGGAGACGTCGCGTCCGCGCCTCTCGACCATGCACCGGAACTCGCCATCTTCAACCTTGATCTTCAAGCTGTTAAGGTGCTCCTGGAACTCTTGCTCGGCCTATAACACAACAAAAACTAATTCAAATACTTGGACAAATTGTTTCTCAATCTTCTCCGCCCGAAACGACACCGCTGAAATATCCGTTTGTAAAAATATAGGTTTACCTCAACCTAAAAACAACCGAAGGGTGCATCGAATGAAATAAAACAGATCCGTATAGATTCCTTTATTTATTGTTCTTTTTATTTTAATAGTTCTTCAGATATACTCACCAGCACGCTGAATCTTGTTGCATGTTTAGAACATTTGAATCGTCACATAAAATACGAGTGTACGCACGCAATCCGCTTTAATAGCGATAGTTTTCATATTTTCATACCTTCTCAACTCAAAGATATTGACGAAATCATAATATTAAAAGGACAATTCGCACAGTTGGGACGTTTTCGCAACATAAAAATATTTTTTGGCTTTATTACGTAAACTATTGGGGTAAAATGTGTTCATGCAGTTTATATAATGGATGGATGGATAGTAAGGAGTTAATGGTGTAATCCTTATTTGTTTTCATACCAAACTCATACACCGGACTCGTCAGCCGTTTCAAGATCCCAATCCCAACAAAAAGGCATATCCCAAGGTTTAAAAGTAATTACTTTGTGTTGATATCCAGTTCGAAGGACATGACAGCCTAATAATGAGATAAGAAAGATAACGTCATTTAGTACTATTTTTACTAAGTAGGACCTTCGATCCGGTGGATCTTTGCCAGCTCAAGTATCTTATGGAATGAGGACATTCCGCAAAATTAACAGGGTTTTAAAATAATTGTTTCGTTTATTAAACTTAAATATCAAGAACTACAGAATAAGACTAACAATTATTTTTATTTATTAATCCTCCATCTGCCACTGGTAAAATAGAGAGGGAGGCCTTCATATAGTGGAGATGATGATTATGATATTTTGGTACATAATAAGATTTAAACTTAATGCAAATATGCCTATTTTGATAGACGTTTGCGAATTTTATCACGGACACAATAAATTGCAAAAGCATAATGGTATCATGCTTATAGGTATCATTTAAATAGTACAGTAGGTAGACTAACTAATGTGACAGAGATGTTTTGTTATTTGCCCCTATTTATCCCTCCTTCCTGCTTGCATTCCTAGCTATAAGTGTGTAAAATAAACCGTACGTGGCTCGCTCAGAACGTTGTGTTGATACGCTCATAAAGAACACCGCAAAACTATGATAAAAACACTACTCCCACTTTTTTTCACATTTTACACTCACACTCCTTACCTTTTTTCCTGTTAACGGAGTTTTATATCCAGGGGTTCTTGGTATTAACCCCAAAGAACGCAAAATCACAAAAGTGTATAAATTTTAGTAGAGGAACAAGTTTTTTCTGAATTGAATTTGTGTTCTTTTTGTGATGCATGCACAGCTGGACATCTAAAAGACCTATCCTCTTATCGCTTCCTTCCCATAAAATAACAAAGTTGAAAATGTACCGGATTNTATCGGATATACAGGGTGTTTGGCGCATCGTGTGCCAAAATTATTTGGCGGATAGAATGGGTCATTTCCTATATTTTCAGCCCCCATAACAAGTTCCATGCCTGGCGGCTACTTTTATATGAATATTTTAGTAATTTCACCAAAATAACCAAATCGCATCATTTAATTTCGATTAAAAAAAAACTACTAGGCGTAGCCTCAAAGTAAATATTTTGTTTTAACGTGCATTGATGTAGGGTTGCATCAAATCTAAATTTACTGGCAAATATCATCTAGTTTTTTTTTAATTCAGCTTTGAAGTTTTCCGAAAAGTTAAAAATGGACTGAACATTTAAGTTTACATGGCTATAATAAAAAAATTAATAGAGATAGCGATCTTCGGATTTTATCAAAACTTCTCTAGTCTATCGCCATTCAAACGGTATACTAATCTTGTTTAAATAATAACAACAACTTCACAAATTCCTTAAATTAGTGCATTGACTCTACTTGGACTGATAGTCAAATTTTGAATTTTGAACCTTTTTTTTACTTTACAATAAGTTCAAAGCAGGTAAAAACTTAACAAAATATTTACTTTGAGGCTACGCCTAGTAGTTTTTTTTTTAAATTAAAATTAAATTATGCGATTTGGGTATTTTGGTGAAATTACTAAAAATTAATATAAAAGTAGCCATCTGGCATGGAACGTGTTATGGGGGCTGAAATTATAGGAAATGACCCATTCTATCCGCCAAATCATTTTGGCACACGATGCGCCAAACACCCTGTATATCCGATATATATCTTGATATATATCCCTTGATATATATCCTCGAACCCTGAGAATAAGACTAACAATTATTTTTATTTATTAATCCTCCATCTGCCACTGGTAAAATAGAGAGGGAGGCCTTCATATAGTGGAGATAATGATTATATTTTGGTACTTAATAAAACTTAATGCAAATATGCCTATTTTGATAGACGTTTGCGAATTTTATCAATTGTTTTCGAAAACGAATCGCCTGTGGACACAATAAATTGCAAAAGCATAAAGGTATCATGCTTATAGGTATCATTAAAATAGTACAGTAGGTAGACTAACTAATGTGACAGAGATGTTCTGTTATTTGTCCCTATTTATCCCTCCTTCCTGCTTGCATTCCTAGCTATAAGTGTGTAAAATAAAACGTACGTGGCTCGCTCAGAACGTTGTGTTGGTACGCTCATAAAGAACACCGCAAAACTATGATAAAAACACTACTCCCACTTTTTTTCACATTTTACACTCACACTCCTTACCTTTTGTCCTGTTAATGGAGTTTTATTGTACCCAGGGGTTCTTGGGATTAACCCCAAAGAACGCAAAATCACAAAAATGTGGAAATTTTAGTCTAGAGAGGAACAAGTTTTTTCTAAATTGAATTTGTAATATTTTTATGATGCATGCACTGCTGGACATCTAAAAGACCCATCCTCTTATCGTTTCCTTCCCATAAAATAACAAAGTTGAAAATGTACCGGATTGTCCGGTTTGAATTCCCTTTATTGCAAGACTGTAGTAGATATCAGTCAACACATTTAATTGTTCAAAAACGCACCATTACTAATAATAACCAAACAGTGTGGATATTGGATTGCTGATTCTAAAATAGCTAGTCCGATACCCCTCTACCACTTAGAACTATTGTGTAGAGCCGACTCTTAACACAATATATTTTGTATTTTAATAATAATATGAAAAACAGTGATGTTCTTAATGTTTTTAAAAAAGTCTGAATTATAAGACTCTTGCCTCAGGTTCTGACCAGGTGAATCAACTCTTAATATTTTGAACTTGGTATTATAAAATATTAAAATCTACAAATAGAATCAGCCACCATCAGTATTTTATCTTGAAAATATTTTAATTTACTGACTTTGTAAGGGTAGTTCAGGTTCACTTACTTAATATTCTAATCACTAAACACTTTATCAATAAGCAATGAAATAATCTTGCTAGGCAAAACTAAAATCTAATATTATGATTAATAAAGTAATTATTTTCTTTTAACTTTTACATCATAGCCTATTGTTAATTTTTATTTTGCAAAAATCAATGTAACAATGAGGAGGATAGAAAAATAATTAAAGATGTTTAAATTTATTGTGTTAATGAAATGATCACTTAATATTCGTTCATTGAGTAAATAATTGAAAATGTATTTACCTTGGTGCAAGGTAGGTCTTCCGAGCTGGGTTTCTTCGGCACTTCAACCACTGAGTCTTCATATCCTTCTGCCCCGGGCGGGCAGTCCGGAAGATCCATTTCAGAGCACTTCACTTGCTAGTTTATGACCATAAATGGTCATAAACCATTTGCCACAAGTGTAGTGCGAATCTTCAGTCTTCAGTTTGTGCCAATCCCAACTGGAATGTAATCACCTTAATCAATATTTCACTCCAAATAATAGTCTAAATCATTAAGATATTTGAGTAGAAATAAATTAATACTTACACCCAGCTCTGCCCCTTATACTTACGCACAAATCCATGCTATCCCTATTATATACTAAGTTTAATTCATGAAACCTCAAGAATAAGTAACAACTCTAGAAACTTTTTGATTAATTAGTAGAGGGACACCATTTTGTTTATCATTTTTGAAAAATAAACACTTTCTATAATTTTAGGAAATAAATTCTCGATTAGGATAAAAATTGTAATGAAAAGAAAATTGAATATGGGTGGAATTCCAATACACCCACTTAAGTAGTGTTCTCTGAGTTTGTCACAATAATTTAACTTTGCTTTTGCGAAATTTAAGATTATAATAAACAGTACAGGCCAAAATACACCAATTTATATACTTATGCATAAATGTACATGTATCATAAAACTGTGTATTACTGTTTAATTTATTTATAACACGCAGATGTAAACATATTCACCTGATAACCATTTTACCTAACATAGATTTTTTTACTTATTAATTTAATATTATTTGAAAGTGACTTAATAATAATTATCCAAGAATAGTGCCAAAACAATTGACCAGACTTCAAATAGATTTCGGTTTGAAGATCTTTATTTAGACCTCCTTTACTTATGTTTAGACGTCAATGTAAATGTAGATGCTAGCTATGTCAATCATTCATTGTTTAATTTAGCTATGTAGAAACAGTAAATAAACAATTGAAATAACAGCACATAAGATTGTTTGCAATAATGAGGATAAATTCAAATTCAAAGAATAAGACATTTACTACACCAATAAATCTCATAATCTGTTTATTATGAAGCCTAATAGGTACCTACTGTGAGAAAGAAAGAGACACATGGGTGTCATGCGCAGATTCTATCAGAATCAAAAATCTAATTGTAGCAATCAGAATATACCAAATGCAATAATTAATCTTTATCTTTCACTCAAATAAGGTTAGCTACTTTGCTAAAAAGATATTGAGGCATTCCCATTTTGGTCAATTTATTAGAGTATGGAATTATTGATAGATACTCAGTGTCTTTCAATATTTTAAAAATCAAAACATTTGCATAATACTAAATTCACAACATAAGAAAATATATTTTGCATTCAGCTTTAAATTATTTAGTGATTTCATTAGTCTGCACATAGAAGGATCAGTATGATAAATAAATACACTCCTTTAAATTCAAACCAATAGGAATTATTTACTGAACTTAAAACCTTGGAATATTTATTATTAACTGACAGCATCAACTTTTCTCATTGAATTGTCCCATTCATATTTGTGAAATTTGGAAAAAACAACTTTTTATGATGTTCATGTAACGCAATATTATCTCCATCATGTATAACTGTTACTGTACTGCTAATTGTGATAACAATAGAAACTTACTTACCAAAAGAATAGCACTGAAATAGGGGCAACCACTCTGCACATATGGCAAACACAAAATCTCATAGAAAAGGTACCGCTATGCTACATTTTCGACACTTAATAAATAAACGGGAATCATGCGTTTTAACGTGATAGTATAATTTCTAGTGTAATAAACACTTCGAATATCTTAATTTTTCTTTAGATTGTTCGCTACGACCTACTACAACTAAACACAAAAATCATATTTTCCGTACTAACCTTTTGGATTCGCAGACCTCCTGTTACCTCAATTAAGAGTTGTGGATTCTGAAAACTTTACTTTAAAACACTCGTAAAAGCTATAATAAAAGCTTGTACTACAATAGGTTTTGTAATTTTAATGAAGAAATTCACAAAAATCACAAAATCACAGCAAAATGTCGGCCGAGCGTCCTTTGTCAAATGTCAAATAAATGTCAAAAAAATTGCCATTCTCAAAAAAAAATTTTTTACACCTGGAAACAAGACTATAGTTCTAAAATACTGGACTGTCCTGTCGATGACATTGACAGTGGGGCGCCACCGTCAATACCGGATCGCTGGTTCAGATTTTTGCCATGTTGGAAACCATATAGTTGAACGATGGTAGCGCCCCCCTGTCATTGAGTTTGGCGGGACAGTTCAGCGTGGGTCATCTATATTAATGCCACGGCACGGCTATAAACACGACTTTTTATTTTTTTATTGTTAAATGCACTTGTGTCTAGAGATGGGTAGTGGGTAAAAACCCATTTCACCCGATTGGGTTAAAACTGGGTGATTTGGGTAAAAACCCGGTTTTTACCCATTATCACCCATTCTGGTGGGTGAAAACAAAAATAGCGTTTTTTTANGTAAAAGGTTGTTCATGGATGGAAAATGAATACAATTGATCATCTAAATACGAAAAGTGACCAGTCGTATAAAATCGTTTTATGGATTTGCGTTTTATTATCGAAAATTATCTTTGTTCCGGCGTTTCTTCTCAGCACTTGCCATATGTTTGTCTCGAAGCGCTGGTAGGGCCCAAAAGATAAGGAGACATGTAAAGTGCCCCATAAGGGCTACCTTTTTCTTTTTTTTATTATTTTCTATTGACGTTCATAAGTGCCACTTGTGGTCTAAACTGAATAAATATTTTTGATTTTGATTTTTGATTTTGATTTTGAAAAACATTCGCTAAAACTAATTTTTCTTAACAAATAATAAATAAAATTCCAAGTTTAAATGCACTTTATGACATAATTTTTAAATTGTCACTATTAATATTTTTTACTGAATAACCTGCAAAGTTAATTCTACAATTTCTGAAAAATCACCTAAAAGTAACCTTTTCATTAGTGTAACCTAAAAGTAACCACAGCAGTTCAAAAGTAACCAAAAAGGTTACAAAAGTAACCTTCTGGCAACACTGGCCGAGCGTCCTTTGTCAAATGTCAAATAAATGTCAAAAAAATTGCCATTCTCAAAAAAAAAATTTTTACACCTGGAAACAAGACTATTAATGCCACGGCTATAAACACGACTTTTTATTTTTTTATTGTGAAATGCACTTGTGTCCAATTTTGCTGGTTTACACTCAAATATTTTTTGATTTGCTTCACTACTCACTGATATTCATCAACAGCCCTTTACAGTCCACTGCTGGACTATGAGCCTCCTCCACTATGGTGGAGGGATTTGCCATAATCTCCACGCTTGGCAGGCGGGTTGGAGATCGCAGTTTAAAAGATTGATGTTTTTCAGAGAGCGCTGTTGCCGTGTGGTGACGGCAGAGTAGAATACATTTGTCACCAACCCCTACTCTTCCCGCGGGTGTCGTAAGAGGCGACTTAGGGACTACACAACAACTCACTGATATAAAGATAAATATTGTTGGCCTGAAAAACTGACTCCTACGAGTGTCGGTTTGATGTCCAAGTTCAGAAACGACCTCCTCTTAAGAGGAAACCCTGTATTTCCTTAAGTTTTGGGCATTCGAATCTGTCGTGTCGTGATGCAACAATCCTTTTCGAATTTATTTTACTAGCTGACCCTGTGTTGTACTACACTAAACATTACCCTCCTTTTTTAAGTAGTCGGGTAAAAAGTAGTGCAGTCTGAGTCTGTGTATGGAGGTGGCCACCTCCATATCTTTTTTCAAAATCAAGAACGAGTTATTAAATTAATGGCGTACCGTCTGGGTGTACTGTGTCTGCGAGTTGCCTCTAAAATAATTCGCTAAGTAGATACCTCGAAAGGAAATCTTTAATGGTCAATATACCAGCATAATATTTCATTATTGGTAATGCACCATTTGCAAAAGATTTCCCATTTTCTTTATCGCTAGCTTATGCTTACGACCAGCGCGGTACGCGGTACTTAAAGGTATCCTATGAAGTCGCTTGCCCAGTTAACTTAAGCGGAAAAGGGCGGAAAGATAAGAAATAAAACGACTAAATCTATAATATCCTTGTATTGAGCGGGTCCACCATTTTCCCCGCCATAAGCGCGACGTGTATACTGGCGTCCATCACGAAGTAAAGGAATGGGTATGTCGCGGTGAACGTCACTGGCTGCCGGTTCGTCACGTACCCTGCAAATTGAACAATAAATTATCTCTGCCCTATGGTTGACTCTAAAGAATAGCGACTGGCATTAAGTCTGCCACTTTTAGTAAGTGCGGTTTTTTAATCTAGTGACCACTGTTTTGACCTTTTTTTTATCTACAACGAGGAAGCTCTTGGCCTGTATATCACCTGATGGTAAGTGATGATCAGGCCGAAGGTGGAAGCGAGCTTCACTCGGAATCCTCAACCACAGAGGAACTGGCTATCTTACCTCTAACTGCCGAAACACAACAATGCTGTTAACATTGTTGTTATGGCGACATTACTTAGGTAAGATGGTGGTAGCTAGTCAGGCGGACTTGGACCAACCAAACCGAACAGAAAATTCTGCCCCCCACTGGGAATCGAACCCGGGACCTCTGCGTCTGGAGCAGGTGGTCTAACCACTAGACTAGACCACAGAGGCGGTTTAATGTACTAATGTGGGACAAACTTGGCCATTAACGCCCGTATTCACAAACGATACATTGCTTAAAAATGTGAAGCAGAAAATCGAAGAGCTCTGTGATTGCTTCATGTGAGTCCACGCGCGTTGTGAGACCTCATAGTGAATACGGGCGTAACTATATGTTTTGGGAGCAAGTAACGATAGATACATAACTGATATTTTTCAACAAAAACGCCCTTGAGTTGCAAAAATATGTGATGTGGTAGCCGATGCTTATCTTATAATGGACGAAACAAAATAAACCAACTGTAGCAACAGGAAACAATCATACAGTAATTTCCCAGTTACACTCATTTATGTAATTGAAAATTAGTATCTACGGATGATCATTTTCATCTCACGATTAGGCATTTAGGTCGTCGGTATATATAAGTAGGCATAATAACATTTCAGCGTAATGGCGGTGGTAGCCATGGGCTGAAGTGGTAATAAAGGTCAATATTGAATGAAACTGCGGGTCTATTAGTGCATTTAATGATACCTAGAGCGAAAGAGCTGCGCGCGCATCAATAGATGCAAATGCGCGTGTCACCGCTTGCGCCACCTCCGCGCGAGACAATGGGCGCTCCGAGGCGTGCACTCAACTTAGCACTTTAGTTTTGCACTCTTTCGGCAACGATTATCTCATCAGCTGCACTGGAAAATTGTGGCACTTGATGGGCGCCTGCCTTCGCGCCAAATTAGGCACAGCTACACGCCCCTGTCTATGTGCATTGTGCACGCCTCATGGCATCTCTTCATTGGGAGGTAAAGCGGAATTTGGACTTCCGGAGCGAGTTCCGCGTCCGCGAGGATATATTTAATCACATACTGTCATGCAGCATGAAATTCAAATACATACCTATTTAAGAATGTAGAGACTTATTTTCGCTAGCAGACCCATTCAAATAAATTCCTATCCTACATAAAATACTCATTTTTATTGGAAGTAATAAAAGCAGAGTTGCATAAAAGTGCAGTGAGTCCAGCGATTGTAAACGTTTTGTCATTACCTACCTTCATTATTTCCGTAGCCTGCCTAATGATACCTCTCGTTCATATTCATGTAGAGCGGTTGTTTGCTTAATAACGCGCGTTGCCGAGTCCTTCACGGTTGTCAATTTAATTAATTGTGCAAAATCAATTTGTGATGATTTGGGAGCGCATCATCAGCAATGTCATCGGAGAACCAGGTGCCCGGCAGAGGCGGCGGCCCGTGACCGCACGCCCCTCGGCCCTCGGCACCGGCTACGCGGCTGCCCACTCGAGGAGCAATTAAATCGTTCGCACCGGAACCATTTTTATGTTTTGCCTTCCGAACCCCGTCGTTCCACAACACGGTACTTGTACTTAAATGAACTTGTACTAAAAAAAAGGAAACGTTTACGAACGTAAATTCGAGATCATTTTGCAATAAAGCGAGCGATTAAAATTGTTTTACTACCTACATAATTTCGAGCTTAAGACCCTTTTACTTTAACTGCTTTAACTATCACAAGCTAACGTAAGTTTTATTGTGGAATCAGAAGAAGTTATTATACTTACTTAAATGAAGAAAATTATACGCCACTGTTTATTGCGGTTACGGTTTATGACGCCCAGCGAGCAAAAGCGGTTAAAGATTAAGGCGGATAAAAGATCAAGAACCCATGTTTATGTTAAATCTAGAGAGGAATCGCAGAATTGCATAGGTAGAACCCTGCACAAATAGTAGATTAAAAATTTTCTCCTACTACTTTGTAGTCGCTGTTCATAGTAAAACAGTTTTGAGCAATTTGAGAATCGTTCCAGTTGAGCTAGGTAGCTCAGTAAGTAATTACATTAAATTAACATAGGTATCTCGACTTACTGTTCTTCTTTTGTTCGTCGGGGCGGTACTTTCTGATGGCTACGGAGACGGCCTGCTCGATGCTGCGGACGTACACGCCCGGCTGCCGCGTCATGGGCGTGAAGTCGTGCTGGCGTGGCTCGAACACGTCGCGGATGCCCAGCTGTGGGATTTGAAAGATATTGTCATTAAATCGGCCACTATGGCCTCCACCGATTTCTGAATGATCATCAGGTCATTGAGGATGGATTCTCCATTGCAGGAAGACGACCTTATCCAATTTAACCAGCGGCAAATGGAGGATTTAATTTACACTCTCTACACTGGCAGAGCCCTATGATAGCTATTTCTCCATTAGTCACCTCTTATCGGTCCTGCGGGAACCACTGCCACATGGCTATCTAGAGACAACATTTTTGAGAAATATTTTTTTACCTTTTGTAAATCTGTCGTTAAAGTGACGTGTCCTTTGACCGTAAAGCTGGGCACGACCGCTCGCACTCTCCGCGGGCGGAGGGCCGCGTAAACGTCAGACAGGTCCGACTCCCT